AGTCCAGGTACTTGGGCTACTGCCAGCTACCTGAGAGACCCCGACTGAGTTTCAGGCTCCTGGCGTCAGCCTGGCCCAGTCCTGCCTGTTGTGGTCACTTACGAAGGATTTCTTTCTCTCTGTGTCATTCTGCTTTTCAAATAAATTAAATAAACCTTTTATAAACTAAATTCTGTGCATAAAAGGTTCACAATTAACAAGTAAAAAAGGCAACATATTTCCATATGGGAGAAAATATTCTTAAATCATCCCTCTGATGGAGGGTTAATATCCAGAACGCACAGAGAATTCAGTCAACTTGACAACACAACAACAAAAGAAACAATTTAAAGATGAACAAACGGGTCCCAGGGCCATGGCCTAGCAGCTAAAGTCCTCGCCTTGAACGTGCTGGAATCCCATATGAGCACCAGTTCTAATCCCAGCAGCCCCGCTTCCCATACAACTCCCTGCCTGTGGCCTGGGATAGCAGTCAAGGATGGCCCAAAGTCTTGGGTCCCTGCACCCATTTGGGAGACCTGGAAGAGACTCCTGGCTCCTGACTTTGGATCAGCTCAGCTCTGGCTTTTGTAGCCATTTGGGGAGTGAACCAATGGATAGAAGTTCTTTCTCTCTGTAAATCTGCATTTCCAATAAAAAAAAATTTAGGTCAGAAAATGGAAAGAACATTTTGAAAAATTAGAAAATCAGCCCAAGAGAAGTAACCAAACTAGATCTGGAAAGAAAAAAAAAAAAAAAAAAACAGAAAAAATGAACACAATAAAATTCCCCCAAAACAGATCCCCAGACTGAAAGAGACTGACTTTTAAATTCAGATGCGCATAGTCAATGCTGCCGTGAAGAAGCTCTGGGCTGCTAAGGCTCCTAAAACTCCAGAACAAGACCACACCCACAGGCCCATCAGTCAGTGGTTGGAGCGCTGAGGCCCCAGAGTCCGCCCCACCTCCCACGCCAGGCTGCCTCTGCTGGTCCTGGCTCCCGTGCTGGTCCTGGCTCCTGTGCTCTGATCCTGGCTCCTGCGCTCTGATCCTGGCTCCTACGCTTCCAATTCAGCCTTCTCCTAATGCCCATCTCAGGAGGCAACTGGTGACGGGTCAAGTATTTGAGTCTCTGCCACCAATATGGGAGACATGGGTGGAGTTCTAGGCTCCCAGCTTTGCCCAGGCCAGGCTGCTGGCAGGCATCTGGGGAGTGAACCAGTGAAGGAAGAAGTGTGTGTGTGTGTGTGTGTGTGTGTGTGTGTGTGCACATGCTCACGCGCATGTGTGCTTTAAAAATAATTTCTTTGGAAAAAATTGTCATTAAGTCTTTAGTGGTGCAGCAGATCTTCAAAATTCTAGAGGAAATGCATTTCTGTCTGGAATTCAACACGAGGCCATGCCATTAATCAAGGCTGCTCGGGCGTACGCTCTGCCAAAGCAAAGAAAGAAACCAAGGTTGGGGACAAGGGGAAACAAAGGATTCAGAAAACTGGATGAGAGCAGAGGCGAGCCCATCTAACACACGTACAAGAGTGTTGACTGTGCAGGTGAGACTGCACAGTGGGGGAAAAGGGTGTCAGGGACTTTTAAAATTATTATTATAAACCAGTTATCTGACTTTTTAAACTAATCTAACTATAAATATGTAAGAAGACAAGATTAAGTTGGGAGACAGGCACTGTGTTGAGTGTGTTAAGCCACCACGTATAACAAGGGCATCGCACATGGGTAGTGGTTCTTGTCCCAGTTGCTCCATTTCTAATCCAACTCCCTGCTAATGTGCCTAGTAAAGCAGCAGAAGTTGGGCCAAGTACCTGGGCCCCTGGCACCCAAGTGGGAGACTCTGGCTTTGGCCCAGCCCATCCCCATCTGTGGTAGCCATTTGAGGAGCGAACGAGTGGGTGCAAGATCTCTCTTTCCTCTGTCTCTCCCTCTCTCTCTGTAACTCTGCCTTTCAGATAAATAAATAAATAATTTTAATGGAGTTGAAAAGACATCCAACCTCATGCCAGTTGGTGAGTCGGTGATGACCTGGCATGAGGTCAGGGGCTCTTACCATCGACTGGAGTGGAGGGAAAGCTTAGAAGCAAGACAGGCCTGCCTTCTGCCGCTGGCCGTGAAATCAAGCCAGCTCTCCTGGTTGTCTGAACAGGAAGGTTGGTGGGGGCCCAGAGGCCAGCTGAGTGAGGAGTTTGAACCAAGTGCAAGCTGCAGCCTCAGGAGGGTCAGTGACCCAAGGAGGGAGGGGATGAGAACAGCCCCTTGGAGGCCTTACGAGCTGTGAGCATGTGATACGGGCATTCCCCCCAAGCCACAGGGGCTGCGCCTGACCCCATGCTGCCTGTATCACACTGCTTCCTGTACCTCAGTTTATAAACTGGGTACAGCATGAGATTAACAACAATACTCGAGATAGTAAAGCAGGACAATTAGAACATAAGTCACAAAGTATCTAACTACATTCATCTCTTCATTTAAACACCAAGCACTTCCAACTTGCCAGTGGCCCTCCTCTCCACGCCCTGTAGCCTTGATTAACGAGAACAAGTGTGGCTCCAACACAGGCATCGCATCACCAGGTCAGTCTAAGGAATCTACTAGGCAAAGGGACGGTTCCCATCCAAGGCAGGAGGCAGCAGGACAGCCCACACTTCCATCGCAATGACCAGAACGGTGCACTAGTTAAAACTTACAACTTGCTTCTTTCTAGAATTTTCCAGCACACCTGGGTTGACTGAAGGCAACTGAAACCACAGAGGGCACTAGTCTGAGGTCAGCAGGACTCAAAGCCAAACAACGAGGACACTGGATCTCACACAATTATGGGGAACCCAGAAGTTATTCCAAAAGTTATGGAAGTCAAAGCCACGCCCCCAGGGTTATGGAAAGCTAATGGAGCCAGGAAGGGAGTGGAGATACCACAAACATCTCTACAGGAAGACAAAACACAGGCCATACCTGACACACACCCTAGGTTAAAAAACACTGGATGTACCGCATCGTAGCCCCAGCAAGCATACAGGAGTCCACACTTCCCTTCAAACAAGCTTGGAGCCTTTATGCCGGGCCACTCCTGCCAACCTCCCTCCTCAGCAGCTAGGTAAGGAAGGTGGCCCTGGGAGACATAAGGCAGGGCACAGTGAAACGTTTGCATGAGCCAACTTCCAGGTCAAAGCCCATATGCTTTTGTTTCTGTAAAGGGAGTTGGCTGCCTTAATGTCTTCACCGACCCAAGAGGTGCACATGGTACCGTGAGCACGCACCCGTGACTGCCAGCTTCGTGGGGCCTGCTCTCTCCCTGGGAAACGAGGCCACATCTGCCAGGCAGGAGCGATGGAGACGCTCACATCCTCGGTGCGCTCATTTGTGCCACACGCATGCGCGACTTTGTAATCAGCAAAAGGCAATAACGGCGCTTCCATACGGAAATGAGCAGAAGCTGCAGCCAAGTAGATGATCGGTGAGGCCCCCTCCAAAGCCAAACTGTGTGAGCCTAAGTCATTTCCCGTCTTTTATTTGCCTATCCGTAAGGCAACGTTTGTGGTGCTTCGCTATTTGACTTTCCTTGCCCTGGGATTCGGAGCCCAGGCTACACACTGATGCTCCTTGCTGGCCCAGAATGTTGCTGGTAGCCAGTGAAGCTGCTTCTCCTGCCCCACGCTGGGTGGGAGTGTGCATGTGTGTGTGTGTGGGGGGGGTCATATGGTTGGGTGTAGCTCTGAGCTCAGCGTACACACACACACACCCCATCCTGATCAGAACTGACCCAGAGGGCATCCCCAGATGACACAGGGCTACAGATGCTGCAGCCACAAACAGCACAAAGAAAGGGGTTGGCCGGGGGAGCTGAGCGTGCCCTGGTTCCAACTGCTAACAGCATTGTGACCTTGGGCCAGTCATTCAGCTGAGCCCAGGGTCGGGAGAAGGATTAGATAATGAATGCTGAATAGCTGGGCACAGCTCAGAAGTGCACAAACAGGAGTTTATCCATTTAATCTTCCCAGCAGAGAGGCTGCACATCAGCCAGCAGGAACTGTTCCAATGCAATCGCCCCCAAAGCCAGGTTGTTCTGGAAGGTTCCCCCAGCCCTCCAATGCACCCTCCCTGTTTCAGTACTGGAGACCAGGCTGGGGCAGCTACTGCTGGTCCACGACCTTGGAGGAACCTGGAAGAAAGCTTCACCAAGTGACAGTACTTTTCCACTGCACTGCTCGGTCACTCTAGCTGGCTTTGTGCTGCGCAGACTGGAGGCAAAAGCACCAGGCCGGCCCCACCATGAACTCACCCCAAATGCCACTCTAGTAGATGTGGGCAGAGGACCTGCCGTGGGTGAGGGGAAGAGGGGAGGGCCTACAGATGCACCCCGCGGAGCTGTGAAGCCGGAGAAATGGGCATTGCCCCGGCTTCTGGTACGATTCTCTGCCCCCACCCCTCCAATAACAATGATTAAGCTGGTTCCACCGCGCCTGTGCCGGGTCCGGGCGGCTCGAGCCTGCGCAGGGCGGGGGAGGCGGGACAGGAGGGCGAGGGGAGGGGACTAGAGAGCTAGCGGTCCCTCCCGGTGATGCAGCCCTGGGAGGTGGAGCCTCGACGCCTGAAGGGGTCCCCACCGCAGCCGCGCTCTCGGTCTACCCCACCAAGCAGCCGCTCCGGCGACCTCCCTGACGCCGCAGTCAGGCGGCGGAGACCATAGGCACCACCCCCACCCACCTGCTCGGTCCTGGGGGTACGTCCACCGCCCCCCATCAGCCCAGCCCCTGCCCCTCCTTGCTCCCCAGACGGCTGGAGCCATTCCCGGGGGAAGCTGTTCCCGGCCGGACATCTAGGCGGTCAGCCAGGCCCGAGCTTAGGGCATCTGCGGAGCCAGCCCCACCGGACACTGGTCATCTCCGGGCACCTACCGTCTTCTCCGCGCCGCGCTGCTCCGGGGCGGTGGACCTCTGCGTGCCCGCCCCTCCCCCGACCACCCCACAAGACGCCCTGCGCTCGCCGCGCGCCCCAGCCCCTTCGGCCGCCGCGATGCTACCCTGGAGACGTAACAAATTCGTGCTGGTGGAGGACGAGGCCAAGTGTAAGGCGAAGAGCTTGAGTCCGGGGCTTACCTACACGTCGCTGCTCTCCAGCTTCCTGCGCTCCTGCCCGGATCTGCTCCCGGACTGGCCGCTGGAGCGTCTGGGCCGCGTGTTCCGCAGCCGGCGCCAGAAAGTGGAGCTGAACAAGGAGGACCCCACCTACACCGTGTGGTACCTGGGCAACGCCGTCACCCTGCACGCCAAGGGCGACGGTTGCACAGACGACGCCGTGGGCAAAATTTGGGCGCGCTGCGGTCCGGGCGGGGGCACCAAGATGAAGCTGACGCTGGGGCCGCACGGCATCCGCATGCAGCCTTGCGAGCGCAGCGCGGCCGGAGGCTCGGGAGCCCGCAGGCCGGCGCACGCCTACCTGCTGCCGCGCATCACCTACTGCACGGCGGACGGTCGCCATCCGCGCGTCTTCGCCTGGGTCTACCGCCACCAGGCGCGTCACAAGGCCGTGGTGCTGCGCTGCCACGCCGTGTTGCTAGCGCGGGCGCACAAGGCGCGCGCCCTGGCCCGCCTGCTCCGCCAGACCGCGCTGGCGGCCTTCAGCGACTTCAAGCGCCTACAACGCCAGAGCGACGCGCGCCACGTGCGCCAGCAGCACCTGCGCGCGGGGGGTGCTGCCGCCTCGGTGCCCCGTGCCCCTCTGCGCCGCTTGCTCAATGCCAAGTGCGCCTACCGGCCGCCGCCGACGGAGCGCGGCCGCGGGGCGCCACGCCTCAGCAGCATCCTGGAGGAGGATGAGGAAGAGGCAGAGGGGGCGGAGGGGGCAGAGAAGTGCGAGGGAGGAGCCCCCCAGAACGAGCGGGCTGAGGTGCTCAGCCTAACCCGGGAGCTGAGGACGTGCAGCCTGCGGGGCGTCCCGGCACCGCCACCGCCGCCACCCGCACTGCCCCGTCGCTGGAGGGCTGGCTCCTGGGAGCGCGCGGGCCAGGCACGATGATGGCCCAAGGGGCAGGACTCGCCGCCCCACACCCGGTCCATTAGACTCACAGCCTCCAACCCCGGCCCTGCCTGCTTCGGCTCCCAACCACTCCCTGGCACTGCCTCCCTGGTGGTCTTGGTTGTGGTCCTCCAACCCTTGGCCTCCTTCTGGCTTAGGGTGCACCTGACATGCCCTTGACTGCTGGGGGTGGGGGCTATCACCTCCACCTACACCCGGGCCCTCCATAGTGGAGCTGCCTCCCAAGCTTTACAGCAGGCTGCACACTGACCACCCGGCTCCCCGACCCACCACCACCACCCCAAGAGATCCTTTCAAGAGAAGAGAGACATGTTTCTAGAAATGCAGGAGGGTAGGTTTGCACTCTGGGTGGAGGCCTGGACTTGCCCTTGGTCTTGCTAGCCCTACTCCCTGGGGTGAGAGTTACCCTGCAGAGATGTCTCTCAGAGGGAGAACAAGATGGCTGGGGCAGTTAAGGGCAGGACTCCAAGGGCCACCAACTCGGCACTGTATACATAGGAAGAATTCTCAGGGCCTCTCCTGGGCCTCCCTGCCCCTTGCAGGATTCCTGGGACTTCACTACTCTGCCTCTGGTGAGGAATGGATGAATGTACCAAGTTCCAACAGCAAACTAGGCCAGGCCACAGGTCTGCAGCGGGCAGCTGCCCAAGCCTTTGCCGCCAACAGGTGCCTCACAGCCAGGACCAAGGTGCGGCTTCCGAAGGAGGTAAGGAGAACCTCTGACAAGTGCTTGGGGACAAGATGAGGCTGATCAGGGCAGGTGGAGCCTTGAGTTTCACAGCAGCAGGGATGGGGAAGGAGGGGTGTTAGCCCAGCAGGGAGAATGGACTCTGCCCAAGTGTCTGCAGAGACCACACAAGGCCCAAAGATGTGTGTGTCCCCAACTGATCATTGTGAATAAAGTGGACCTGCTTTTTCAGCCTGTCACCACTCTGTGTTGTGTTTGATGCCAGGCTGGCTGGGGGCGAAAAGACTGTCATCATAACCTTGCAGACCGCAGCAGGAATTCCAGCCCTTTGAGCAGCTGGAGCCAAGTGTCAGGATTGGAGGGGGAGGAGAGCTCAGAAAACTGTTCTCTTATTGCCGGGAGAGAAGGCAGTGGCACATGCCCTGTTTGAAAACAACATGTGCCAAGTTCTGGGCGGGGTGGGGTGTTATGTCTGCATACCTGGCACTTGGGTGCAAGTGTCTGGGATATTAGGCAGGAAGGGGGCACCGGGCTGAGGGGTGGGGCATTTCCCAGCATGCAGCATAGACTAGGCATGGCCCCTCCCCTGCACAGTGGGTGGAACGGAGAAGAACCAGCTGCCCAGCTTTCTTCAAGGAGCTGGGGATGTCAACGCAGACCCCTAATAGGCAGTGTGAGTCTGGAGCTGGGATGCCTTTTTATGCCTGTGTTAAGTTGGGCATCAAGCCCAGAGTTCCCAGAGTCCCAAAGTGGCCTCAGCCACTGCCAGGCATCGTGGTTCCCGGAGCTGCCAGCCAAGGTACCACTGTCCCCATCACTGTGGTGAGACCCACCCAGGGCCAGGGGCCTTGGAGAGGGCATAGCCAGGGTTGGTGTCCCATCTGACTGACAAGGATCCAGCGGGCAAGGGCTTCTCATGGTGTGGCTCCCCATGTGCAAGAGATAAGCAAGCAGGAGGATGTCAGATGTGGAGGCAGGATGAACCCAGGACAGCCCAGGCATGGGCTGAAATGACCATAGCCAGAAGCAAGGCCAAAAGCACACTCCCTGCCACACTTCAGGCAGCAGAGGGGACCAAGCGTGCTACATAGCAGGCACAGCGCTGGCCAGAGATGCCTGGGACTCTGGGCTCTTACAGCCTCAAGGGAGGTACATAAGATTAGAGGAGCAGTTACTGAGTAATTATCTGCAGGCCTGCCCCCAGCCTCACCCTACCCCTCAGGTTTTGGGGAGTCTCCTGACACATAGATGCACACACACACACACATCCATCTACCTTGTGCATTGCACACATGCACATATGCCTGCCAGTTGTTTGACTGACCACACCTGCATTTCCAATGTGTGTGGAGCAAGAAGACCCTGGACCAGCATTCCTCTCCCATTGGGTGGAAACAGAGAGAAGCCAGCGACCAGCCAGCACAGCTCCAGCTGCCACAGGGCTGAGAGTCAAGGGGATGGAGCTGCTGTAACCACCAGCCACTTCAGCAGCATTGCCCATGGGAGCGGGGTTTGGGGAGGTCAGGGGAGCCATGTCCACCTTACCCAAGCACTAAGGGCAGTGTTCCCCCACCCGCCTCAGCACCTCATCACCCACGTCGGAACCAGAAGCTCCCTAGGCAGTGGTCAGGATGTCTGTGGCCCCTGGCTCTTCTGCTGGCTTCCAAGTTCCCCACCCTGGGGAAAGATGACCATGGGCTGGGCCAGTGGTTTGCAAGCTGTGTTCTCTGAGTCCTTGGTTTCCCAGGGGTGTCCAAGGAGCTGCTGTTACCAGCGCTATGTGGGTTTTCCATGGGGAGGTTCTGGGATTCCAACTGAGTAGTGGGAACCTCCAGGTGGCTGGCTGGATTGTTAAGTGACTAGATGACACACTCCTTAACCCATGCCTACCTCCAGGCCTGCTGTGTGAGGTCTGCTGGGCAGACTCATCAGGAAATTGGGGTTGGAGCAGCTAAGGGAGTCTCAGAATGGCAGTGAAAACCCTCGCAAGAATGACAAGCTAGGGCTGCACTGTGGCACCGTGAGTTAAGCTGCTGCCAGTATCCCATGAGGGCACTGGTCTAAGTCCTGACTTCTCTGCTTTGACCTGTCCCAGCTTATTTGGGGAATGAACCAGCACATGGAATATCTACCTCTCTCCTCTATCTTTAAAATAAACCAGCATGATAGTCTGCCCAGCCCAAGGCAGGATGAGTGCTCCTGGTGTGTCCTGCCTCTGCCTGCCTGAAGCCATGGCTGTTGGCCCATGGGCCCCAGCACACATTGCGGCACCAATGGGTCCACCAGACAGCACCAGGTAGTCCCACCCCTGGGCCTTGGCACACACGGGTGCCACATCCCGGACTGCCCTTCCTGCAGGCTGCGTGTTTTTAGATTCTTCCCTGTCAGCAAAGCCCAGCTGCAGCTCCGCTTCCTGCAGCTTCACTTCCCTCTTCTCCCCAGCCTTACCCCGCTCCTGCCAGGTCTGAGGGGCTGCCACCTCTTGCAGTCACAGGGGGCTCCATCTGTGCTGTTCTCGGGGTCTTCAGCCTGGTCCACCTTGACATATTCGTCTCTTACTGGCTCCATCTTCAGCTCCCCACCCTCTTCAGCACCTTGTCCGCCATAGAATAGGAATTTTTTTTCTTTTTTTAAGATTTATTTATTTTTATTGGAAAGGCAGATATACAGAGAGGAGGAGAGACAGAGAGGAAGATCTTCTGGCCGATGACTTATTTCCCAAGTGACTGTGACCACCGGTGCTGCGCCGACCCAAAGCCAGGAGCCAGGAACTTCTTTCCAGGTCTCCCACGTGGGTGCAGGGACCCAATGCTCTGGGCCGTCCTCCACTGCTTTCCTAGGCCACAAGCAGGGAGCTGGATGGGAAATGGAGCTGCCGGGATTAGAACTGGTGCCCATATGGGATCCCAGTGCGTTCAAGGCAAGGACTTTAGCCGCTAGGCCACACCGCCGGGCCCAGGATAGGAAGTTGATGCTCAGTAGTGGTTTGTTGAATGAATACATGAATGAACGAGTCAGATGGAAGTGCCATCATAGGCCTGGAAAGCAAGTGGGTGGAGGAACCTTCCCTACGACAAGCTGCTGCTCTGAGATACTGAAGGCGTCATGTCCTCGGGCACCCTGCTCCTACTGAGGCCCTTTCTAGGGGACGAGCTCTATTCCTTGGGGTCTGCTCTGGCTCCACAGGGCTAGTCAAGGCCCCAGTGCAGAGCAGACAACAGAGAACACACAGCAGCACCTGGCCGTGGCCAGACACACTCTGGCCACATTGGCTGACCTTGGCAGACTT